GTCTGAAATTTTGGCATGCATAAACATTAAAGCTGAGTATGCATACTATATGGTAAGCAGACTCAAAAAGGTTCACCATTCCTGGTATATACCAATTTACTTTAATTTTAATTGTATAAAAGAAGTAAAATAGAAGATAAATTATCATAGTTTGAAAATTCTTACTTTTTCAGGTACATAAAAATTATATTGAGTTAGAAGATTTCTTTGTGTGTAATATATGTTAATTAAATGGCTATACTATAAAAAAATATATATATTTATTTTGAAATCAAAATGATCAAATATTTTGAAACTTTTGATTATGAAATTGTTTTCTGCATACATATGTACAGTATGTACAGTACAGTTCATATAAAAAAAAAACCTAATTTTTATTTCTTATGTAGTTTTCATATAATAATAATAATTAGATCGAATGCTGGAGATTGTTTTGCATACCTTTAAATTATAAAATTGGATTTAAATGATGAAAAGGTATCAATTTTTTAAAGATTGTGTCGAATCAAGTCTATAATTATTCTAAATTCAACTTTATAAGTAAACAGCAAATATTTACTATGATTATTGACTATATAAATGATCATTAAAGTTGACAATCTTCTTAAGGCTACTTTTCGAATGATCCAGCAGATTTATAAAATTTTGTTATATTTAATTAAAAAAGAGTAACAACTTGTGATTGAACATGAAGAGGAAGCATAGAAAGCAATGGGAAACTATAATGCTTTATTACTAACATAGCAATCTCCCTAGTGAGATGAGCACAAGTAGAAATAGAGACAAGAACAACATTGGGATTTGCAACAATTTCCAACTGCAACACCTTGCCCAGTAAGGGGAAGAAGGGAGCACTCCAGATCCTCAGCTTGCAAAACCTTCCACAGAGAGTTTTCAGAATTGGAACTTGAGAACAAGAGGATTTTAAGGAAGGCTGAAAAACCGGAAAATCTGAAGAATGAGATGAAAATAAATAAATTACACATAGTAGGACTAAGTGAAGTGAGATCAGAAAACTCTGGAAAATTAGTGAGCAACAATATCAAGCTTTACTTTTCAGGTGGAGGGAAAGCAATGAATGGAGTGAGGATTGAAAAGTGAATTTGTATCCTGGGTAATTAAAGTTGATTACATAAATGACAATCATAATGGTCAGGATTCAAGAGGAACCATAAGTTCTGGTACACATTTAATTATATATGCCTAACAGCTCTGATTTGGATGAAGAGGTAGAGAAAATATATGAACAGTTGAAAGAAATTATGGAAAAGGAAGAAAGAAATGCTTGACTATTGTTGTTAGGTGATTGGAATGTGAAATGCGAGAGGAAAATATTGTAAGAAGGCATGGGTTGGGAAGCAGGAACAGGAGAGGAGAAAGGTTGATCGAATTCTGCAAAGAATATAGTATGATGATTACCAATACATGGTTTCAAAAGCATAAAAGAAGATTATATACATGGAAAGATGCAGGGGACAACAACAGATACCAAATAGACTACATACTAATTAAAGATAGATATAGGAATTCTATTAAGGATGTAAGCACCTATCCAGGTGCAGACATAGACTCAGATAACAACCTCTTATTCACAAAATTCAAAATGAGGTTCAAGAAGAACACAAAGAGGAATAAGTGAGAAATGGAATTTAGAAAATTTGAAAAGAACTAGTGAAATGTTTAGATTAGTATCTGAACAAAAATTTAAAGAAATAGATGAGGATGCTGAAGGACCAAATAAATTGTGGATATCAATGAAGGAAAAGATTTGTGCCACAGCAGAGGAACGTAGGAAAGAAAAAAGATCAAAGAACTTGTAAACCCTGGGTTACAGAGGATATGGTGAATGAAAGAAGAAAGTGGAAGATTGTGAACTCTGAAGAAGGAAGACAAAAACACAGAGAACTGAACAATAAGCTAAGAAGGGTGATCAAACAAGCCAGAAAAGTGTGGCTTGAAAGAGAATATGAAGAAATTGAAAGTCTGGAGAGGTCAAAAAGATTTTAACTAATATATGATAAAGTTAAGAATGTATTCTGGTTCAGAAGGATTAAGAGGAAGGCATTAAGTTTGGGGAAAGGCAGATTCAGTGCTAAGATATGCTGATGATATGGCACTTCTGGTGGAGAGTAAGGATAAAATGAGAAAGATTCTGAGTGGACTAGAGAGCCTTCAAAATGAAAATTAATGTTAACAAGACCAAAGCACTTTGAATCATAGTAAAGGAAAGAATGGTCAACATTCATATAAATAGTAACAAAGTGAAACAAGTAAACAGCTTTAGATACTTGGGTGCTTGGTTTGATTCTGAATGCAAAAGTAGGAAAGAAATCAATAGGAGAATTGGTATGGTAAAAGAGGCATTTAACAAAATAAAAACAGTTTTGTGTATGCCTCTGAAATTAGAATTAAGAAAGACTGGTCAAATGCTACATGTGAATTGTTTTCCTCTATGGTGTTGAAACTTGGAACCTTGAGACAATAAATATAACATTAGGAGAATAGAGTCTTGGAGATGTGGCTGTGGAGAAGAATAAAGAAAGTCAGATGGAGTGAGAAGTGAGGAAATCCTAAGAAGAGTGAGTGTAAAAAGGAGCATATTAGAGACAATAAAGAAGCAAAAAGCTAATTGGATGGGATACATGATTTGAGAGGAAGGCTTATGGAATAATGACATTACAGAAGGAATGGTTGAAGTGAGGGAGAAGGAGAATTAAAATGGTGGATGACTTAAAAGAGGGTAATTGTAAGGAGCTAAAGACAAGAGTCAGGATAGACTAGCATGGAAAAAGAGGTGGTGTTCACTGGACCTGCTATAACTAGCAGAAAACTAAAGAACTAATAATGTATACTGTAAAGCATATTGAATTGTAATAAATCTGATACTCTCTTCTGAAACTGCACTTAATTAAAAACAATCAAACTTCAAACAACCTTTTATTATGCAACCTTTTTTATTACTCTTCAAACACTTTCAGTCATACATATACAGTAGAATCCCATAGAACACGCAAATAAAGCAAGCAACACCCTCGAATGTTGTCGATCAGAGGTATACGTTTTTTTCAACTTATAGGCCAAGGTTTAAACAATCATAAATCGTGTGATAATGGAGGTTTTGATAATGTGGTTTCCTGTAATGCATAATGAATCCCCACATTGTATGGGACTCTACTGTATATTGTAATCATCTATTCGCATATTGGCAATGGACATCCACACTAGTCGTTAAAGAAAATTTAAATGTTTAAAGGCATTGCAAAACATTTTTAAACATTTCAAGTTTTGTTGTGGAGAAATTGGAATTGTTCAGTTTTGTTTCCTGAAGGTCAATCAAATGACGAAAAGTGTTTGAAGAGTAATAAAAAAGGCTGCATAATAAAAGGTTGTTTGAAGTTTAATTGTTAATAAAACTGATATTTTGCAATTTTCATTTAATGTGTTTGCCCTTATAAATCTGAAATGTATCATTAAAATAAATTTATTCTTCACTACTTTCAACCATATTATACTCCTAAAATTTGAGATGATTTAACATATCATCTTACAAAGAAACACTAATTTTTTTATTTCATATGTACAGCATGAATGGAAAATAACTAGGTATTGAGAAATTGCTATAATTTTTGTAATAATAATGCAATCATAATAAAATTTATGTATACATGTACAACAATCAATAGAATTTTATAATGTCTAAATCAGTGGTGTGGACAGTGACTGAAAGAGGCTACACACACAGTAGCAAAATGATGGCTGACTGCTTTTTCTGTTCAGGAATGAGTACAGATAGCTGCATGCTCTCAGGTGTGGAAATCAGTCGTTATTGTGCAGAGATGATAGAATTATATGGTAAAGGAATGTTATGCTACAATCCATCTGGAAACAATGAAGAATTGTCAATCGAAGCTAAAATGATCATAGGTTTGGTTGTAGATGTACTGTACAGAGAATTGGTTGTACAGTACATCCACATCATGATATGAAAAAAACATGTTACTGGTGGATGATATCAGTGCGTATATTGAATTTTAAGGTATGCATTTGTATTTCCATTTAATAAGATCTATGATAAATAGTTTTTATCATCTTTGAATTAGAAATATATATATATATATAAATTGGTGATTTCTCAATGCCTAGTTACTTTCTACCCACCCAGTAGATAGTAAAGTAGCTGCCTCAGTACTATATTATTTCAGTACTTCAATGTAGAAAAACTCTTATATTTATATTTTAAACTATTTTCATTTTTAAATGTTAAAGTTTTGCATATTTTAAATGTTATTTATTCAGAATGAAACTTTTGATAAACTTTAAGAAAAAAACCACTACTCTTTTTAATTTTTAATATATATAAAAAAAAAAAATTTTCAAGCTATTCTAGCTCATCATCAGATACAACTAAAACTCATTTGAATATAAGAAATGCTATTTAAATTTCTTTCCATTACTAAATTGAAAAATTTCCACATGATGACTTTTCATAAGAGGAAAAGAATTTTTACAAGTTTTGAGTATAAATATTTTTAAAATGTTTTTTAACTTTTTAAAGTTTTCCAATAAAAACTAAAAATATCCAGAAATAACAGAACTCTAACAATTCTAAAAATTGAAGCTGAATTGAAAATAGTTCTATTAGAGATTGCATATATATTTGGTTCCTATTTCATGTTTAGTGATTTCCTTCTTTCACCTGCTTTTTTCTAAGGTCACTGTTTTCATAGCCCATACAATGGGTTATGAAAACAGTGACCTTAGAGAAGGGCTAATGTCTGAATCTTCTCTTCTTTTATGAGATTCCCTTCTTTTGCTGTCAGTAATTCTTCTACTACTATAGTTAAAACATTATTTCTTTCTGACACTATAACATGAGCTTCATCCTATACTGATTCTGCATCCTTATTCTTAAAATGAATGAATTAGTGATATACGATTGAAAAATAACAATGATATTTTTAATAAAGAAATGATGATAAAAAAAGTTAAAATTGTTACAGATATCTACAGGATCATATCGTAGTACTAGTCCAGCGGATCATTCATGCAGTGCTCCAACTTCTCCAGTTTCTCATAGTTTTTCACCAGCTAGTTCACCTGGATTAGGACCTACATCATCATTGAGTAAAAGTCCATTTACAGACACTAATTATTATCAGCATCAACAACAACAAACAAGTGCTCTTCAGCATCAGTTGGAACAGTTTAAGATGGTAATTAATGTTGTAAAATTTTATGTACTAATTTTGAAGTGCTCTGCTTATATTTTGAAATAGACTATTTTATAGAATAATCTTTGTTTCTTAAGTAAGACTAATATCTTTAAATTTAATAGGAATTTGCAAAAAAAAATGACATAGTCGAATTTTAATTAGCTTAATCCTTCACTGTGTGCATGAAAAAACAATGCTTTCTTTGAGTTGCATGGTATTTCACAAATGCCACTGTTTTTTCTAAAATTAAATAAAATTAATTAAAAAAATGGACGACATATCAAAAATAGCAATTACATCTTCAATCTCTGCATTCTGTCTACTATATAACAATGTAAAAAGCAATTTGAAAAAATTGTAGACCTATAAATAAAAGCTACAACTGCTGTATCAAATTGGGCTAAATAACAACTATAATAATAAATTACTGATAAATTTGACCATAGAGGGAGGCATTAAACACCATCTCGTATTAAATTTAATAATTATAATTTAACTAAATAATTTTAGATTAAATTGGAAGAAAAGAATCAGCCCGGAGTGGGACTTCTCAACTGCCACTTGATGTGCAGATGTTTTGCCAATTACACTACCCAGACCTTGGTTCCTATCTCCTCTTCCAGTATATTTAACATTATGATATAACCATTGTCAGTTATGGTGCTGACTGGGGACACATTCATCACCCTTGTCCTATAAACTCCTACATAAGGCACTTAGCCGGCCATTGTATACCTGGCAAGGCATATAATACAAATATAAACATCTTTATGAAACCCGATACACTACAATGTTTGGGTTTCATAAAGATACATTCTTGATACATTACAATAATGTATTGGGTTTTGTAAAGATGTTTATATTTGACCTATAAATTCTCAGTGTCATTCATTCATCTATCCGTTTGTCTTTGTCTGTCTTTCCTTAATCTGAAGAATGGAGTTAGATAGATAAAATCTGAACTAGATATGGAAACCTTAGGGACAAGAGGCCCCAATTAACTATATATGAATTCCTGATGCAAACTAGAAGTCATGTTATTTCAATTCAAAACTTTTTCCTGAAAACAGTTAATAGATGACCGGCATGACTCTTATTGAAAGAAAAGTGTGATGTATGGGGCAAGCCACTACTAATTTGAGGTAGAGAGCATATATTTTAAATTGAAAATATGATTAAAAATTGCAGCTCAGCATTGTGACAATGTTACAATAAATAATTGCTTGTTTATGTTTATTTTTTTTAATTTGATCCATAAATGCAAAAAAAATAAACATAGCAAATTTCAATTTGCTGTGTTTATTTTATTATCTCAACATTATCTCAACTTACACTGCTTGACAAGGAATTTGTGTTAAATTTCGTAGGAAGGTATTATCTTCCAAGATCAATAGTAAAGTTTTGTTCATTCTCTCATGCAAAGTAATTCAAACTTCAGTGCTGAAAGGATGCCGTTTGGACACAATTGATGGCATTAAAATAAATTCATCACAAGCATTGAAGGACAGTCTGAAACGAGCTTACCAGGACTGCTTTGCAAAATGGAAACACTGCTGGGATAAGTGTGTGAATAGGGGAGGGGAGTACTTTGAAGGGGACAAAGACCAATAATCTGTAACTTGAAGAATAAAAATTAAAAAATAAAGTTTGGTTCTGTTTTGAACAGACCTCATAATTATAATCTTATTATAATTGTTATAGTAGGTAAATAATGATTATCAACATTCTGGTATACAGTAGACCCCATATAACACGGTAGATACATTTCATGTTTATGAAATTCGTGTTGTATGAGTCCTTAAATACATGAGCTAATCACAGCCCGGCATGTATGCAGTTTACGGACTACGGCTGTTTGAAAGGTTTTCTTCCATAAAATTAATTGATTCTAGACTAATTTGACTCAACATTTTCAAAACATGTATAATTTTTTGGGAATAATCCATATAAACTATGCTATAAACAAAAAATTGTAGGATTACTTACCAAGTGTGCACCGTTCAACGATGCCATTGCTTAAGCTTGTTTTCAGTGTGGAGCAGTTCATTGAATGGCGGGCATGTGTTTCCTGATAAATTATTTTTCTGCAAAAATTTTGCTGAACTTTGGAGACATCATTAATATAAATATAATTTTTATGGCTGTTAAATAATAAATGGTTTTTAGTAGGTCCGCTGCTTGTTTAAACTCAGCGGTTTGTGCAATATCCGCTATTGGTCTAGATTCAACCAATCCTGTCGCAACACGAGTCAGCGATGACATTTTACCAAATTATAGGAGTTTTTTTAGCATGTTTATATGAATATGGTTGCAATTTTTTTGCCGTTATATATGAATCCATATTATATGAACCCGTTTTATAGGAGGTCTACTGTATTTTCTTATAAAAAAAAAAGATTTATTTACTTATTTTATTTAGAATATTAAAGCATACTATAATTATATCAAAATACATGAATAATTTCTTAGGCTTAAAAGTGTTCATTTTCTTTTATTAGATACCAGAAAGTAATCTAGTTTGCTCCAGTACCAACAGTAATACTGTACATACAAATTCTGCCATGTATATGCCCTCAATGGACAGTTGTGATTGTGGACCATCAGTTGAGGGTGATATATTAATGGGTAGAAGTTTAGGATTACATTACTCAGATAACATTTCACATGGAATAAATTCTTCTCAAGATGGTCTTGGCAATAGTATCATGTATTACAATATCCCAAATTTATCATCTGAAGCTCCACTACAGTCACCAACTTTGTATTCAAAAACTGTCATTTCTCAACACACTGCACCTCAAACTCCACAAACTCCTACTAGTATTCCAGATATTATTCTAACAGGTAAATTTTTAAAATAATCTAAGCCTTTATTTTCATTTTAATAATAATTAGAATGAATACTTCATATGAGATGATGTAAAATTTTAAACAATATAAGTATAGGAATCATTGCTATATTTTTTGCTGTTACATGTTACACAATATTCTAATTCATACATAATTTCATATATTTCATTAAAATAAAATATATTTTAAAAAATAACAAATATTATTTGATTTTAACAATGACAGGCAGTTTTTCTCATATAAGATGTTATTTTGTTGAGTTCATTTTTAAAGTGGTCTTTAAATGTATTTATAAAAATTAAAGTAATATAAATATCAATACATTATGAAATAATAATGTTATATATTATTAACATTAAAGAATAAAAAGAAAAGAATAATTAACATTTATTTTAAATTTAGCCTGGTTTTTCAAAATTTATATTGCATACATATATTCAGATTTATGAAAAATTAAAATTTGTTAAAAATTGAATTTAAATATGAAATTTATTACACTTTAATTGTTCAAATGATTAGGTAATAAAAATTCATAAAATTATCAAACTACAGTTGAATCTGTCTACCGTGAATCTCATGGGAACATGAAAAAGTTTGAGATAGACAGCTTTTGACATAAGTAAACAGTAATAAGTTTGATTGCAGATATGATATGGTATTTTATTAATACAATAGCACATAAGTGCATACCTGTATTAGGTATAAATAAAACATTTTTGACATTTCTTAACAGAAATAGTTTGTCAGTAGTTTCTGATGCCTGAATTTTTTTAATCAATAAGATGCAAGCCAAACTTGTAGCCTTAGTCTACTAGTGGCTGAGTGGATAAAACCTCTGAACACTGGTAGTTGGTCATAGGTTCATGGAAAACACCACATGGCCAACCTGTTGGCCATGTGGTGTTTTCCAAGTTTTCTTCACATTTGTAACGCCTAAATAGGGGCCAGTTTCCCATTTAAAGTCTTCCAGGGGCATCCCCTTCATCAGATCTTCCATGTGTCACATTGTTGTAAACAATTATTTGTTTACCTGATTGGCTATGAGTTTGATTTATATCAAATCAAACTCAAAGCTAATCACAGAAAAGCAGCGTTAATTGCAACTGCAGTAGAGCATCATTTATCCGAATCAATTGGGGACTGAGGTTGTTCGGATAACCGATTATGTATGAAAAAATATATTAGCCCATCCCATGTTGAAATTTTTCTCTGTTGCATGTCACTTTGCGTTGAATTTTCGTCGATGTTAAGCCTAACGTAAACTTTTTAAAATAATCATGGCTATTGTATCATTAAAAATTATTTCTTTATTTTTTACAAACAAAATAAATATATTGAAAAATATAAAAACAAAAAAATTATACTTTAGAAGTTGATCTAGTATCAAAAACATTTGATTCAGCATGACACACAGTCCTCAGAAAAACACCACATAAAAGTGCCAATGCTTCCAGCTAAAACACACACACCAACAAAAAAAATATTGGAGTAGCCCAAGATATAGCCAAAGATTGCAGTGCCACAGCACTAGCGAAAATTTAAATTTGCTGACTGGAATGCTTTCGGTTAACTGATGTTTCAGATAAAACCGGCTTTAGGATAAACGACGCTCTACTGTACATACTGCATTGCAAGAGTTTTCTCAACAACAATTTATGCTATCAAACTAGTTGCTGAGCTTTGAATTTGTAATTGACACTTCAATCTATAATTTGAAATATAGTGGTTTTGGGAGAAAATTATTTGTAATAAACATGGAAATATATTGAATTTAGGCTGAAAATGCAGGAGAAAAATTAAATTTTAAGATAAAGGTTTTTGAGAAACATGTTTAAGATAGACAGGTTCAACTATAATTGTTTTTGAACATTCTATTTAATTATATATATTTGTAATAGTTAATGTCTGCTAATACTGTACATCATCTGAAAAAATCTCCAATAAATGTCAGTTTTTCTATTAAACATTCATTACTATTAAATGAAAATAGTTTATTTTTAGTACAATTTCTGTCACTATTATTATTATTATTATTTTATTATTATTATTATTATTATTATTATAACTTTTTCTACTGGAAAAATCTGGTAAGTATGATAATCATATACAAATTATATTGTAAACTAAGTTATTTGTATGTAATATACAAATATAACTCATTTAAGAAAATATATTTAATATTTTAAGTGAAAATGCCAATTATGTTACAAGTGAAGAATTTAAAAAAGAAATAATATTATAATTTCCTGCCTCTAAATTCATGAGTTGTGTGTTAAAAAATCTTTTGATTTCAATGATATGGATTATAGGCACTGTGTATGATCTATAACAACATTTCAAAAAATAGCTAAAAATTATTTTACTTTTTCTTATGTTAAAAACTTTTTGAGATGATAAAATTTGGCAGTGTTTTGTTTATCTCTTGCATCTACATCGGGTAGATACAAAAGATGAAAGTATCAGATCCTTTCACTTCTACTTGTAAATGGATATCTTTTTAAGATGTATTTTAAGCTTAGCTTAATGGTTGTTTAGACACTATCATAGATAATGACAATTAATAAATCTAACCTTGACTTCCCAACCAAGAAGATATGACATTATAGGATTTGTTGTTTTTCATTGTTGAAATGGAGAAAATTTTTCCCAGTGATGAAACCAGAAAGTTCTTTTAGAAGCTGGTGATTAATGATTTAATTATGAAATTTTATTAATGCAAAGATTCACAGTAATACCAGGAAGACAATCATATTTATAGGAATCAAAAATCATTCTAAGAGTGTTGCAATATTCTTGTGAAATTAATATCACTTTTATTTTCAAGTTTTTTTTATTTATTTAATATAGTATTACAGTAGAGTGTCGATTATCCGAATGTTGATCAACCGAAACGTCAGTTAACCGAAAGCGTTCTAGTCGGACTGTGTCGTGCTGAATCGAGCATTTTTGATACTAGATTAACTTCTAAAGTATATATTTTTTTGTTTTTATATTTTTCAATATATTTATTTTGCTTGTGCAAAATAAAGAAATAATTTTTAACAATACAATAGCCACGATTATTATTATAAAAATTTTCGTTAGGCTTAACATCGACGAAAATTCAATGCGAAGCGATGCACAACAGAGAAAAGTTTAAACATGGGAAATATTAATATACTATTATTGGGATATACTAATATACTATAGTAATAATGTATTTTTTCATACATCATCGGTTATCCAAAAAATTGATTTTCCAAACAACCCCAGTCCCCAATTGATTCAGATAATCGACGCTCTACTGTAATTTATTTTAATCGTATTATAAATTTGAGATTAAGATGATGATCTTGAAATAAGCAGCTCTACAGAAAGTTAGCTTTGTCTTCAATTTTTAAGCACTAATGATGAAAACTGAAGTTTGAATAAACATAAATGTTATTGTTATATACATTGTATTTATTCAGGGTGTCTAATGGACCTGGAATACCTGGAAATGTCAGGGAATTTATCAGATAAGGATCTTGGAAATCTCAGGGAATTTGATATAAACCTGGAAAACAAAAAAATTATTATTTAGAATGTATAATTCATCATATAATGGAAAAGGGAACAACAGAAACAAAACAATTTTGAATGTGCACATCGTTGTGTCAGATGATATACATGATGACCTAAGATTACATCAAGCATGCCGATTAAATTTAAGTATAATAATTACTAATATTTACTTCAATACTTCAAGAAAATACAAAATTTGAATTATGTAGCTTTAAATTATTTTAATGAAAAAAATATAGCTTTTTCAATTGTAAGTAGCTTATTTTTAAGTATGGTCTTGTGGGATTCACTGAAAAGCAGTTGGCACCCTAGTTAGCAGTTGGTCTTCTTTGGAAATGAGGGTGTAGATAGGTCTGATCACAACAGTTTCAAAACTCTTACCAAGCAAATGCTATGTCGAATCCATCTATACTTTAGCAATGCTTGAAATTACGATTGCAGGGTTCGGAACTGGTTAACCAAAATAAATTTTTTCATTTATCACTATTTTTGCAAAATGTCATTAAGAGCCCCTTTTGGAAAAATATTACCATATTCTGTTTTAATGTGACCCTTTTCAACATTTTGTGAAGCTGAGAAATGAAGTGCATATTAGATTTGAAGTATAAATGAGGAGCTTGGAAGCAAAAACGTGTTAAGTGACATTAGCATCATTTCCAGTATTATAGCGTATTAAACCTGTTAACTGTAATCTGGACAGATTTCACTACGGGTTAATTGATTTTATCTCATTTGAGTGTCACCCGTGTATTGAAATTTTGTTGATTTTAATAGTGAAATATATTTAAATTAACAAGTTTTACATGCTATAAATTTTTAATTTAGTTACAAGACAATAAAGATAGATTTAATTTTATATGAAATACTAGATTTCATAATAACAAATAATTTTTTTTCATGAAAACAGTAGTTTGATCAATATTATGTTCATATAATTTGTGTGTAATATCTAGACTAAATAAACTTCGTTTAATGCAGAGATGTGAGATGTTTTTTGGTGAATGCATTTCTATGCTTCTATTTCTTTTAATAACAATATGAAATTAATGGTTACTTCTTGACACCTGTCACTTTTTTAACTATTTCCATAATAAAAGTCTGTTCTGATGCTGTGATTGTAAATTGCAGGTAGTAAATTAAAAACATTTTGTGAGTTCCATACTGATGTGAATCTCAGCAAAACAGAGAATTTCTGCACAATACATACAGTAGACCCTGGATATGCCACTAAAGATTGGAAAATTAGAAACATTAGAATGAAGAGAGTAAGTAACTGACAGAGTGATATTAAAAATTCAAAAAGACTGTGCAAACTGCTTACAAATTGTAACCACCAAATTGTTGGAAAACTTGTCACTGAAATCTAGCTTATACAAGGAGTAGAGAGAAAGCATTAAAACTGCTAGATACAAATACGTTATTAGAAAGATTTGGCGGAAATCAAAAGAACA